CTTCCTCAGCCTCCCAAGTGCTGGGAATACAGGGATCCATCATCATGCCTGGCTTTACTATCAATTTTATCATCATGATGTAATGTTGACAGTATCAATACTAGAGTGTTATTCTTTGCCATATACAAGGCTAATGTTATCTCTTTCTGAAATCCAAAGATTGTACAGTACATTTCTCTATTGTGAGCTAGCAACATTTTTGGAAATCTCCACTTTTGTTCTTGCAAATAATTTCTGTGTTCATCAACTGGTGTTCTTTTAGCAAATGTACACCAATGGGTAACTCTTGAAACAATTGTCAAATGTGGGTTACTTTTTTAAATAGGTACAAGTCTGTTCACAATATCATAGTACTTATTACTACACAAATAAAGACCTGGTGGCTGAGTTCCATCCTGAGTTCCAGGATAAATTTCTAAATTCAAGGTGTAAAATGTCTTTGCACCCACCAGGGCATATATTTTTATACCATATTTGGAAGATTTATTTGATATATCTTGCCAAAAGCTACAACAACCAGGAAATGATGCAAGTTGCTGATTGTCATGTAGTCAAATGGTGTAAAAATTACTTGAGAGTTCAAGATAAAGCTTTCAAAAAATGAGTGAATAGGAGCCAAATTGTTGGATTTTTTTTTTTTTTCTTTCTCGCGGGGTCTTTTTGTCATCAAAACATAGGCAATTTTGAAGGAAACTAAATTTCTTGAGTATCATTATTGCTCTAAAAATTTCAACACCACATCTGTCACTTCTCCATAAATCCTTTAGATTCTGATGATTAGAATCTTTTTAGTTCAGATAGTGAAGGGTCATGACAAATATATTTTCGAGTATTGCTAGTGGTGCATGTAGAATGTTTTATTTGTATTTCATTATTAGTGTATTTCACAATATCTTATAGCATATCATCCATTACAATTTCCAACATTGAATGGCAATGTTGGCATTTTGTTCAATAGATTTCAACCCAGGCAAGAACATAATAATATTTTCTGATCTAGTTTTAATGTGGGATCGTTCAGGTATACATGATCACTTTGTAGCATTTTGACTAGCCCAAATATTTATTGACATCATTGTTTTCTCCTTCATCTGAATCAAGGTCTTCATTCTGTACTTCTCTATCTGTTATCTCTTTCCTTTTTCCTTTTTCGTTTCTTTTTTCTTTTTGAGACAGGCTCTCACTATGTAGTTCATGCTGGCCTTGAACTCACTATGTAGCTCAGGCTGGCATTCAACTCATGGTGATCCTCCTGATCCAGCCTCCCAACTGCTGGGATTACAGGCATGCAACACCATGCCCGGCCTTATCTGTCATATCTTGCTCTGTCTCACTGTCACAACTTCTTTGGCTTACATGATCCAAATCATCATCACTGTACTGAATTGGGCTAATTCTACAAGAAAAATCAAAAGAAAACATTTAATAAAACAAATTACAAATACACAAAAATGTAACATGGTGCATAAGGTGGGTAAAACTCCCCTGTTGCTACTTTGACACATGTGCATACACCCTGCCATTCATCTACCAAGTGAATGGGCACAAAGATCGCTTCCCATATTTCCCCAGCATAGCTACTGAGATACACATCTGGCTACTGTTATGCCAAAGTAAATATTTTCAATAGAAAGGTGTGGTAAGGGTGTCTGCTACCCACTTTGAGGAACTGAGGGAATTCTGGGAGTCTTTTGGTGGAATTTTTGGTTCTTCTATGTAGAGCATCATATATTCTGCAAATAATAATAATTTGACTTCTTCCTTTCCTATATGTATCCCTTTTAGTTCTTGGGCTGATTGTTTTGGCTAATGTTTCAAGTACTATGTGGAACAGAAGCAGTGATAATGTCATCCTTGTCTTGTTCCAGATTTTAGAGGGCTAGGTTTCAGTTTTTCTCCATTTAATATGACTTTGTCATAAATGGCTTTTACCAGATTGAGGTAAGATCCTTCTATATTTATTTTTTTCAGTTTTTTTTAAAATTATGAATTGGTGTTGGATTTTATCAAAAGCTTTTTCTGCATCTATTGATATGATCTTATGGTTTTTGTACTGTTTATGTACTATATTACATATCCATATGTTCAACCATCCTTGGAAACCTGGGATGAAACCTACTTGGTCCTGATATATGATTCTTTTAATGATTTGTTGCATATATTTGCCAATATCATATTGAGAATGTTTACATTTATGTTCAGTAAGGAGACCGTCCTGTAGCTTTCTTTTTTCATTTGGGTCTTCTTCTAATTTGGAGTCAGAGCTTATGCTGGTTTCCAGAAATTATTTTGGAAGCTCTCCTTCCAATTTCATTGAAGAGTTTGAAGATGATTGGTGTTATAACATCCTTAAAGGTCATGTTGAATTCAGTAGTGAATTCATCATGTATGGCCCTTTCTTACTTGACATGTATTTTTATTACCCCCTCAATTTCATTGCTTCTTATTGGATTGTTCAGAAATTTTATGTCTTTGGCTGGGGGTATCACAATCCCCAACCTGCAACTATACTACAAAGTTACTGTGATAAAAACAGCATGGTACTGGCAAAGAAACAGAC